TAGAAGACTGAAACTTCGGGAGTGTGTACAAACCACTGTGCGACCCTCCCTTTTTAGTATCATTACCCGCGTACACCTGGGTTCCATGTGAGGACGCCTTAAAAAAATATGCAAATTTTTTGAAGCAAGAGGACTGAAATTTTGCAGGGATAGTCTCTGCGCATGTCTGAGCTAAAGATTTCAAATCCAACTTTAACAGACATATACACCTCGTGTACGGACATGTCAAAATTGCCGTTGGCAAAATGCCAATTGTGGAACTAAGTTAACTAGAATGTTCGAACTTTACGAAAATATTTATTTCCTATAATTGTACAAGCAGAATTAAAATGAGCATTGGCCTGGGTCACGAGTTCAGAACATGGCGGGTAGGAGGCTGTACTGATGATTTCCGCTCCTACTCGCACACATTGCTCGGTCTGTGTTTACAGCTAAGGGATGAAACACAGACTTATCACATAGTAAAATCTCTTTCGGCACATAACATTTAAAACCAATCCTTCCATTCTACTATTCCATACACGCAGCATACACTAGAGTTGACAGGTGTGAACCGCCGCCTATCGTACTGCTGTCCCCTCAAAAAATTTCCAATTCCAGAAAAAATTGCTAATTCCAAAAAATTTCAAATCCCAGATTTCTTTCCACATCTACATATTTTTTCATTGCATTTCTCCTGTTTTCTGTGTTGGCTACCATTTGCCACACGCACATGGAGGGAAAGGCAGTTAGGCTGTAGCATGCTCCATCACATGTAGCATGCTTCTTAAGAGCATGCATCACATAAATGGTCGTAAGACCATCGTCTTCATACTTTCCTGTCTAACGTCTACTGCTCGTATTGCTCTACAAGTATACTTGTTAGCTACCTTAACTTAGCTCTTAAACACTGCCTCGTAATCAATTATTACAGCGCAAATCTTATTCTCCCAGAAATAATTAGGCTTTCCTATCGGTCACCCCAACAAAATCATTTGAACCATTCGTATCATTCTAGCCTAACATTTTGACCTTTCTTGGCCGGGCTGGAAATTGCTGATTGACGATCAATATCAGTTTTTTCAGCTGGCTTAGTGTCTATATAAACAATGCATCACCATCACACTAACCACACACGCGATCAAATGGATAATGCTAACTTCAGGTGTACGTGAACATTGATCTTAGGTTCCTGGGCCCATCGCACATGCAGCGGGAAATGCTCGTAAAATTTCAGTTGCTTAGCTTCTCTGGCTGCTAATTTGAAAGTGTTTGACAAAGTTCACCCACTCACACATAGGCGCACACTGGTAAGATCACAACAATATGCGCATAAATGCACAAAAACTGATAAAAGATCCTGAAAAATAATTCTCTTTCATCGAAAATGAGGCATAAATTAATTTCATTTTATGTATATCATACAACGACCTCGCGGTCGCCTCCAGATGTAGCTGTACCTATCTAACAGGGCAGAAAACGCCTCCGCAACGATCAATTACTGCTACATCTTATCTCTATGGAGTGAGGAACATAATAGGTTGTCTGAAGGAAAATATAGGCGATAAAAGCACTTGCAAATTTTCAAAAAAATAAAAAAATTAAGCAGAAACTAATGCCAGAAATAAGAATATTGCTCAGCTTTCACAAAATAGTAATATCACTCCAGTAAATCCAAAATTTGTCCCAAAAAATAACTGACCTGAGTGATGTAGCAGAAATGTTCTTAGTGGCGATATCGATGGCATCAATTTTATCACAAAAAAAAAAAAACATTTTTGGGGCCGACAAATGTTATTAAAATTTTGGGGCCGACAAATGTTATTAAATTAATGGCCTAGTTCTATGGCTCCTACGTAACTCCAAAAAATCCTATTCCTCAGCATATCCTTCAAATTCCACCCACTTTTTTGATTAAATCTTGAAAGTCCTTCTTCCCACCAAGCACATGTACACAAGCCGCTGACGAATAAGTTGCATGAGGACTTTACAAAATAAGCAGCATACAGACATCTTTGGTGTGAATAATGTACATAATGACATGCCTAAAACAAGCAACAATACCTAAAACTAATAATGAGGTGAAACTTTCTGCCATTTCTTAGCATTTTCTAAAAAAAAATTTGTTATTACATCAGGATTGCCAGTAGGCTGAACACTAGAAAATACAGCATTGGTACAGCAATCGGAAAAATTGCCAAATGCATAGCCGAAAAATCAATCTATAACTTATATTTTGCCCAAAATTGCTTTCAATAGCCGACAATTCGCATGAGAAACTTACTATAATATCCAATAAATTCCACTATGTTTTGCTTGCTATGAAAATATGAAAAAAGACCGAAGCAGCAAATAAGTGGCGCTTTGCTAACAAATAAAAATCACTCAATGATAACGCTCCTATAAAAGCTGCGCGATTTTTTTGGTTTAAAAAAAAGAAAAAAAAGAGACCAAACGATAGATTCACTGCTGGAATCCAAGGCAGAATAATGAAAAATATTCATTTCTAAAATACCCAGCGCTACGGTACAAATAAATGAGCTGCCCGATCACTGAAGCATACTGTTTTCTGATTTCATGAACTTTTGCTGCCGTCGTGCAATCTCGCGGTTAATTTCTCCGAAATCGCTCATATTGGCAATACCGATGCCTTCCTTTTTATACAGTTTCATCAACTGATTGTCAAATTGCTCTAACTGCGCAAGACGAAATAGCAGCCACTGAAACACGATTATGTCAGAAGCATGAAACATTCCCAAACTGTTCAGTAAAACTGCATTCAAACTGAATACATTATACTTAAACAGCAAATGCGAAGCGATGTCGATGTTCGGAGAAAAACCGCAACGAAGGCTCCCTTTTTCTGAGCAAACTCTGGAATCAACCTGGTAGGAAAGAAAATGCGTATGACAGTGGATAAGAGCGAACCAAATAGAAAGTTGAGCGGGAACTTTAGCCCGAAGCAGGATTCGATTACAAGGATACAAAATCTGCCTCAAAAGAAGGGCAAATTCAATTCAGGAGAGTAAAATTTTAGCCTATGAACAAAATTTACCTAACGAGTGTATGTTTGAACAAAATTGCACTTGAATGATTGATCATATATTGAAAAGAAAAAAAAATTCAAGCCAAAACTGTTAAACTGATTGACAATGGTGACTACGATAAGCAAAGGAAATAAAAGGGCCGTGGAAACTGAGACATATCGTTCAATCGGAAAAGCCTGCTATGGTGGGGTTTCAAGATAGCAATACTCGCAACTGCAACGATGCTTCTGACGGATAGCCAGTGCGATCGTGCGTTTTGAGCAGTTCCGGCCAGCGAACGTTTGCCTGCTAAGGATTTTCACTGCTTTGCACTTTGGTCTTTGCAAAAATAGTTGAAATGCTGTCAGGTGCCTACGTAAAGTATGCTGTTCTTATTATAAAATTATATAATATTTTTTTCTTTTCCCCTTTTTACCCCATGAGTCAGAATGCAATTAGCATTCCTGTGTGTTTACAATATTCTGCGTTTTTGTCCTTTTTTTTACACTTATAAAAACCTAATTACATATTCTTTCCCTTTATCCCGTTTACTCATATGTTGGAATGCGTTTGCATTTCTAGCTGTTTTACTTTTATTATTTTCTCTTCAGTCCCTTTTTAACTCCCTTAAAAACCCTTATTTCCATTCCCCCTTTTCACATTTCCCTTTACCCAAATTACCATTTTCAAATTTTCAACCCCTCCAAAAAAACTATCACATCCTCTTTTGGAGCGGTTCCTAAACCCTTTATAAACCTCCCTACCATTCTTCGTGGTCTCAGTTTCTCCTTCACCGGGACGACGGCTTTCAGTCTTCCCGACGGGCTCTTCGAGGTTTTGGGACTCGACCTCGTCTGATATACTCCTGGCCCTCATCAACCGTACTCTTGCTCGGCAAGCTCACAGTCCCGATAGATTCTAAACGCCACACTTCGTGCTGTTTATTTGCTGTTTGCACTATTCATTACCAGTAAGTCATAAACTTAATTTTGCTTCTCTACAGTGCGCGTACGCTCAGAGCACCACGCCATACAGCGATCCACACACGAAAACACCCATCCCATAAAAATTTTTACTCCTAAGTTGCTGAGTTTCCC